AGCAGCTCCAGGGGAGCCATTGTTGATGCCCCCTCTGCTTGGAATGCTAGTTATCTGCGCGAGGCACCGACACAGTCCCGTATCTCCATCTTACAGTTCTGTCAGTGTTTGTACAATCTGCCTCCTCAGCACTTGGTTCATAGGCAGTTCCCTTTGTCTGAGGCAGGTAGCACTAATGGCCCTCACAGGACACAGAGGAAATGCTGACCAGGCCCCCCGAAAGCTTCCCAGTGCTGATGGGCTTGGGTGATTTTTCCCCAGAGTGGCATTTTTTTTCTAGAAGAAAGACCCCTTCAAGGCATGTGGCTCAAAGCTGTGGCTGTGCAGAGGAGACCAGATCCAGATAAAGCAGGGAACCTGTCCAAGATGTCCACGACAGGTCCTGCCACCCCCCAGGTCCCAACCCCTTGTCCAGCACTCTTTCAAAACTGGAGTTGATAGTATTAAGTCAGGCAGATGGTGGTTGCTATGGTTACCAGAGTACAGACAGATGGCAGATGGAAAACCCACACCCCTAATTCACTGAAAATTACCAAATGACAAGTAAATGTGCCAACCCCTCGACTCTGATCTATGAGCTCTGAGGCCCGCCCTGGGCTTCAGCCTGGAGAATAAGGAGGTCCCCAGAGCCACAGGGAGCAATTCAGAAGCCACTTTCCAGGACCTCATTAGTGGCAGACCTCAGTACTCCTGAGCTCAGCTGTCCTTTTCACCAGGGTTTGTGTCACCTGCTTCAGACCTGATGATGCCTCTTTGTCACCTTCTGTCTTCACAGGCCTGTGTGGTCCTTGCCCTTGTGTCTCAGGGAGGCATGGGCCTGTGCACAGAAAGCTGTTTCCCTACCTCAGCAGCACCTCCTTCTGGGCTACCCTAAAGCCATGTTTAATTCAAAAGACACAGCAGGAAACACTTTTAACAAAGCCCCTGGGGACCCTGTTTGAAGGAAAACAGACAGTTTTACTTCAGTATTGGCGACAGTCACTCCTCCTCAGCTCCTCCCAGACTCTTTCAGCACCGAGGCACCTCCACTTTAATGGAGTGAAGGTTCATGGTATTGATTAGCTCCTTCCCAGTAGAGACCAGTGTCTCTGTGACACCTCCGTGGGACAGTAGTAGCAAGCAGTGTGTGGATCTAAATGCTGCCCTTCCCAGAAGCCTTTGCTCAGACCTGCCCACTACCTATTACTGAGAGCACCCTTTGGTCTTTGAACATTTTGATGACCTATGTGTGAATGTTTTATTGCTAGACATTGCTTTTGTACCCATTATTGTCCTTGATTTTTGCAACCACCTCTCCCCTTAGTGCAGTGGATCTCAGCCTTCCTAACGCTATGACCCTTTGCTAAAACAGTTTTTCACGTTGTGTGACGCCCAACCTATAAGATTATTTTGTTGCTACTTCATAACTGTAATTTTGCTACTGTTATGAATCATAATGTAAATATCTGTTTTCCAATGGTCTTAGGTGACCCCTGTGAAAGGGTCATTCAACCTCTCCAAAAGAGTCATGACCCTTAACAAAAGGGAACATTGAGACCCAACAAAAGGGATATCCTGGAGTTACGTGGTTGGCCCAGTTGAGACAGTGCCTCACTCTTGGCAGATCCCTGCCACCCTTCTCCAGCCTGCAGGGCTTTGAGCCCCAGCAGCTTCTCTGAGAGCTTGAGCTCCTGAATCTTAGCAAATTCACCTTGGTTGGAATTCCTGCTTCATTTAGGAGCCCTGGGTACGTGTTACCAGGTAACCAGAAGAGGCGGTGAATGCCACTTTGTGAAAGGGACAAAGAAAGGGGCTTCGTGTTCCAAAGCCTTTCATGAATGCCGAGGGAGGGGATTTGAGTCTCAGGCTGCAGGCAGTAGGATTAAGCCGGGGCTCCTTCCACATCCAACTGTGATTATGAGCATAAATTATCAAGACTGTTCCGCACGCTGATCATTAAATTCTTTGCTTGTGTGTGTCTTAATACAAGCAGATAGAGTCCTGGGGGATGAGTTTGGTTCTTCTTGCTTTCTATGGCACCATTAACTTAAGTCTCTGAGGCAAGTGGGACGATCTTTCATTTCAGCCACCAAGGACTCATTTAATGAAAGGGGTTGGGAGACAGATCACCCCATGCAGTAATAATAACCCGGATCCTTTGATCTGTGCAGATCCACAGAACTAACACAGACACTGTCATTACGTGCCCGCATCCCAGAGGGTATAGGGCAGTATTGTTCTCTTCCTGAGCAGACAATGGTCACAACCTGTCCAAGCACCAGCGGACTGCACGGCCCACTCCTGGGAAACTGAGTCTCCCGGTATTGCTTTGCCTATCCAGGTACCGCGTCCTCTAACCACACACAGCTGTGATGACCTGCTGTCTATCCCTGGGGGTGAATGGAGTTGTGCCATCACGAACCTCCTGGGCTGATGGAAGTGTGAGCAGAAAGAAGCAAGCACTGGGCAGGGTGGAATTAGAAAGAAGGAACTGATGCATTTAGAAGACTGACTGGGCAGGAGCTGGCCTCCCTGAAAAGCCACTTCGATCCAGTCACAGGTAGATGTGAAGGAAAACCTGCTCCTTCCAGGATGGTGGCAGCCCTGACAACACTGAGGTGAGACGCTATGTCCTGGGCTTTGGAAGGTGGCTGTCATCTATCTCCGGCCTGCAGAGCATTGAGCCACTGAAGTTTCTCAGAGCTCTGGAGAGCCTGAGGGTTAAGGGTCATGGCCTTTGGTAGCACCAGATGAGCCCTGTCTCCAGAGGTCAGCAGAGAGCTGCAAACAGATACAGCACAACAGAAAGGTCTGGTCTGGGTAGCATGAGCTGCTGTGTCCCTGGGTCCCTCCCTCGGACACCTTGGCGGGTTGTAAGGGGTCTTCAGCTTCGGCCTCTGGAGGGCAGGCAGTGAGAACGCCATGGCTTAAATCTGAAGTATTTCTGGAAGACTTGTGTAAAGCTGTGACACTACTGGGAGGGTGGAGTCTTCAGGAGGTGGGAGGTGAGGTGTAACTAGAGGAAGTAGGTGGGCATCCATGCCTTGTGGGGGTGGGGATAAAATCTTGTCCCATGAACCATCTCTATTCCTCCCTCTGCTTCCTGGCAGCCATTAGGCAAACAGCTTTCTTCAGCTCAGCCCTTCTGCTATGACACCTGTCTTGCCACAGACGTAAGCTACAGAACCAGCTGGCCATGGACTGACCCAGCTTCCAAGTGGGATGGGTACCTGTGTCCACTCTGAAGAAGCCACAGCTAAGACTAAAGCATGGCACTAGATGCACTTCAGTGTGTTTCCTTCCCCCCCCCCCCCTCATACCATCTCTCCTGCCTCTGGTAGTCACTGAGCACCCTGTTGTGACACTTGAGTAGCACGAGGACTAGAGATGTCTGTCCTGCTAGTGCTGTGGGCTGTCAGTCACTAGTGGGCATCACTGGGAGCTGATGTGGGGAATGTTCCCACCCTGTGCAGAATAGAGAGCAAATTACTTGCCTGAGCCTGTCACTACAGAACGATCGGGTGGCAAGGTGGGCCTGTAGCTGGCTCCTGAGAGCCCGGCCTTCAGGAAGTTGAACCACTCCCAGAATCGAGGAAAGCGCTCACTGCCTGAAGCGCAGAGTGTGGTCCATGCCTGTATTTCATCACCCTGAAATACCTGCAGCGTCTATGACGGGACGGCTTTGTTTTGGCTCACGGTTCTGGAGGCTCCGGTCCGGAATCTACAGCCCCATTTCTCTTTTAGCAGCTGGCAAGGACAGCACAGTTTGGCAGCACGTGTGGTAGAGCACGCTGCTCGCCTCCCAAGCCAGGAAGCAGAAGAGAGAAGATTCCAGACCCGTACTCTCCCCTCTGTGATCACACCTCTGGTGACCTAAACATCTCTTGCTGGGCTCCACTTTCAGGGCTGGTGTGAGGGCACAGAAGAGTCCTCCTCTGGGAAAGGAAAGATGATGGCAGGATAGAAGTTATGTAGAGTTTGTTCTGTCCAATCAGAAAGAGGAGAGCACACCTCCTCACCATTGAGGCTGACCCTGGGTGGCATCCCCTGCTGGAAAGGAAGGGGTTAACAGCTGTAGGCAGCCAGATGTGCCTTAGCTGTGGCATCCTTACTCTTACCATGATTGTCACTGACTGTGCCGAGCTGTTATGGCTAAGAAGGCAAATTTAAAGCCAACTATATTCAAATTAAAAGAAGATGACTGACAACACGGAGCCTGAGGAAATCTTTCAAGGTCGCAGAACTGCTGTTTCCAACCAGTGACTTCCCAACTGTATGCCAAAGGTACGCGTCGGTTCAAAGCGGGTCTTCGCACAAGACTGAGTCGTGCAGCATGCAAATTTATGGATAAATAACTGCCCTGGGAAAGGTCGCTTTAACGCTGAAAGCAGGGGCCTCTTTTGTAAAAAGAAATGGCATTTCCTGCCATGAAAGCAGCGGCAAAGGCAGCCTTCCCTAGACAGTCTTTCTTAATTGTAGTTATTGAAAGAGAGGGAGCGGGAGACCTGAGGAGGGCACGCAGGAAATGTGATTTACTGGTTTATTCATTTAGACTTGAAAGGGAGTGATGAAGTCTCATTTAAAATTTATGACTTTACTTGAAGGAAAGTGAAACACGTTGACGGAGCATCCCTCTGGAACCTATTGAAGCCTCGGAGGTGGGGGGGCGGTTTGCATATGACTGTCCCACGCCGGTGGAGGACAGGCTTGCGGGTGGAAGCGGCTGTGTGGCTGAGGAGGTGCTGGTTGGGGGTGTGTGAATGAATTAGCCTCTCTTTGTGGTGGCAGATGGGCCTTCTGATGGACAGCCCCTTGTGCGGTTCTGTGGCTGCAGGGCGAGTTAGAAATTTGGACGCTCTTTTCGGGGCGTGTTAGAAGTTTGGAGGCTTCACCTTCACCGGAGCTTCATCAGTGGGAATGAGCATAACACAGGGCCTTGGAAGGGCCCAGCAGGCAGTGAGCTCTCAGTTCCTGGTGCTGAGGCCGGATGTGCATGTCGCATGCTCAGGCACTGGCTTGACACGGTCTGCCTCTCACTGTGTCTAGAGGAGCCATGCTACTCTCCTTTCTGTGTTGGCTCGGCAGTTAGGAGCACTGGCTGCTCTTCCAGAGGACCTGGGTTCGATTCCCAGCACCCACAGAGCGGCCCACACTACCCATCATTCCTCTCTGTGGCCTTCCGCCCCTGGGCCCTCTCTCTCCCTTTGTTCTCTTATTTTGTTGCAGCTGTATTCCAGTGGGCACAGGCCCTTCCATACTGTCTGGTTTGCTGGCCCCAGAATGGTGATACCTCTCTTTTATGCGCTATGTTTTCTTCCTCTAGCTGTCTGTTTGCCCCATCTGTCCCTGGCTCACATGTCATGCTAATACAGTAACTGTTTTTTCCTTCCGTGGCTGGTCCACTCTACCACCTGGGGAAGCAGGGGTCTTCTCCCCAAGTCTCCAGGGAAGAGGAGAGAGCTGGTCGCCTTCCCTTTGCCAGACTTTTGCCTTGCCGGACTTCATGGCTGGGTTTGGTCTCTGGGATGGGTGAGACTATGTAGAGACTCCTGGACCAGCTGTGATGCAGCTGGTCAAATAGAAACAGATGCTTGTTTAGGACTTGGTTGTAGGGCATCCTCCTGTGGAGCTGGAGTAGGTGGCACACACCTTTAATCCCAGAACTAGGGAGACAGATGCAGGCGTATCTCTGTGAGTTCCAGGACAGGCTGGTCTACAGAGTGAGTTCCAGGACAGCCAGGGCTACACAGAGAAACCCTGTCTCAAGCCTTACCTCCCCCCCCCAAGAAAAAGACCATCCTGAGCATCAAGGTACCTCTTGATGTCTAACTGATCTCTGAAATGGAAAGAAGCAGGTGTGAAGGATGAGTTAAGAGTCTAACCTGGGCTTCAGACTCTCGGGTCCTCTTAAAGAAACAGAACCCCATGTCCCTCTTCTCTGAGCCCTCTGAATACAGAGGCAGAAAAGCACCTGTTAGCAGCTCTGCCCTTGGTAACTTGGCTTGACACTACCCATCGGGGTTCTTAATTTCAGGAACTGAGAAACCCCTGCATATATGCCTGAGCACGAGTATATGAAACAAGCATGCAAATAAGCGTCAGACATTTATTGATAGTGGAATCACAAAGAAATACACTTTAAAACAGTTTTTTGGTGTGTGTATAATTCTCGCCATTCGCTGGAGATAAGAGCAATGTTGCGTCCTAATGAGATGGCTGTGCGTGTTTATCTTCACATAAAGAATTCAATCTGGGGGGCTGGCCAGATGGCTCAGAGGTTAAGGGCAATGGAGGCCCCGAGTTCAATTCCCAGCACTCACACGGGAGCTCACAACCATCTGTAACTCCAGTTCCAGGGGATCTGACACCCTCTTCTGGACTCTGCAGGCACCAGGTACACACGTTTCACGGACATACATATAGACAAAACACACATACACATAAGATGAAGCACATAGTTTTTTTCAGAAGAATGGAATCTCGGGGGATGTCGGCACAGCAGGATGCAGGTCATCGGCAACGCTTTGCGAAGCTGATCGATAGTTTTGTCTTTATAACACCCCTTCGTATAAATACACACTTCCACGGGCAGAAGAGGGCTGTGATGTGTCTCAGTTGGTGGTGTGGTCGCTTAATGTGCATAAAACCCTGAGCTTAGCCCCCAGCGCCACGTAAACCAGCTGCTGTCACACAGCTGTAATCCCGGCACTCAGGACTCAGAAGCAGGAGAAAAGACAGTTTGAAGTTACCCTTAACAACATAGGAGAATTGGAGGCCAGCCGGGGCTAAGGAGAGTGTTTCCTGTAATTCAGCCATGTTCCTATAAGAGCAGAAAGTAAAAACAAAACTAACAAAAAAAAATTGCACACACGCCCCCTACAGCTTATCGCACACGGTTGTCTAGAGTCTGAGCTGAAGTTTTGGGGGTCACCGATCCTGGCAGCTGTATAGAATGATGGACGGCACGGACGGCAAATCCGGGTGCAAAGCTCCCATGCTCTGAAGCCAAGGCTGTCCTAAAGTTAGATCACGAGACACCTGTGAGCACTACCAGAGCTATCAGATTAAGTTTTGGTCATCGTGTGTTCAGAAAACTTTGGCTGTGGGGCCCGATTTTTCGGGACCCCGCCCCCCACAGGCACTTCGGTGACTTACAGTTAGAGCCAGATTCCAGGAGGCCTGCAATAAGCAAGCAGGTGACAGCCGAGGTGCCAAGGTGCCGGGGCTCTTCAGGGAGAGGCTGTGCCGAGGCCCTGGAGGGCCTGACAGGGACATGGATTCTCCCCCTTGGCTATCTTCCTGGTGGTGAAAACGAAGGCACGCTCTCAGATCCCAGGCCTAGTGGTACACTCCCTCGAGGACCCACTGCTCCCTCCTCACACCTCCTCACAGCCCTCAGAGGCCAGGGGTGGGCACCTGAGCTAATAAATGCCCTGGGCTCCAGGGTAAATAAAGGGCTGCTCCTTTGTCTCCTCCCAGCTCCTGTGGTCCTCATGCCACCCCGAGATATCCACAATGTCACCGGGACTCAAGTGTTCCTGTCCTGTGAGGTAAAGGCTGTACCCACGCCGGTCATCACCTGGAAGAAGGTAATCCTCTCCAAGAGCGTATACATTCCTCTGTGTGCGTGTGCCCGTGCGTGTGGACGCGGGCGAGAAAGGCAGAAACGAAAGGACCTGTTTTTCCCTGGGTGTTTGCACAGGCATCTTTTTTTGTATGTGGGCCAGAGGTCTAGACAAAGATACAGCCGCCCTGTGCCTTAAAGCTGGCATCCCAGAACTCTCCCCAGAGGAGGGGCTGCACTCCTTCCCATCCCATTGTTTGTTCGCTTAGATGTCTAGGAAGCTCTGCGAGCTGCTCTGTCATTAGAACCTGCTTTGCTGTGGCACAGAGCTACAGACTTGGCTGGCGACTGAGACTCCATCCTGTCTTGAACGCTGAAGGCCAATGCTGAAAGACTTCAGTTGGCCCCTTGCCCCCAAAGCCTTGTTAAGTGAAGGTTAGGCTGTTCCCACCCTCCTCCACCCTTTGTCAAAGCTGGCAACCGTGAGGGCCAGCAAGGGGCTCTATCCAGCAGGGGGCGCTGTCTGAATTAACACAGATTTAAAAGAAGGCTGAGTTATTTGCATAAGAATAAGAGGTATTTGGATTTCTATCTTAGAATCCCAGAAAGGACGCAGGTGGTGGTGGTGGGAGGTCGTCCTGGCTCAGAATTCTTTTTCTAAACTGTGACAGCTTTCTCTGCCTCTTGGAGGTTGTGCGTTCTCCAGAGGGCACCGAGGGCTTGGAGGAGTTGCCTGGAGACCACGTCAATATAGCTGTAGAGGTTCGAGGCGGCCCTTCTGACCATGAGACCACATCCTGGATTTTGGTGAGTGTTTCGGATTATTGGATGCCAGCAACAAACCACCTTTGTCTTCCCATGACGTGTTACATGTTTAAAGCTGTTCCCTGTTTTTTTCTTTTGGCTCTGCTGGACATTGGACCTAGGACCTCGCTTCAGATTTTTATTTTGAAGGCTGATGAGGTGGCTTAGTGGGTAAAGGCATTTGACTTGTGGTTCCTCGACAGTACTCACCTATATGGTGGATGGAGAGAACTGACTTCTGCAAGCTCCCCTCTGTCCTCCATACACCTGTGTGTGTGTGTGTGTACACACCCATACACAGAACAAGTGAATAAACATAATTTTTAAATATTTAACATTTTATTTTGAGATGAGGTCGCGCTAAATTGCTCAGGCGGTCCTCGAAACACGTTGACCTGTTGTTTCAGCCCTCTGAGTAGCTGTGGATGAGCCATTATATTGTGGGGGGAAGCAGTTGGGGGGGCTGTTAAGGTTTTAAGATGGGGTTGCCCAGAGAGACCCACAGGTGAGTCATATGCTGTTAGGGTCACAAGAAACTGATTGCCCAGGCCGGTCCAATTTAAAGGTGAATCTATATGAGGAACCAGGAGGCAGAGGTACAGCAGAATGAGAGAAGTCCTCCCACCGTTTCTGAACTGAAGGTAGGAGACAGCCATAGCTGTGTTAGTGCCCCTTAGAAGCTGGCCAAGGCAAGAAAACACATTGTCCCCTCAAGGTGCAGGGATGCTGTAATGCCTGTTTTGAGCCTGCTGGACCCACCTTTGATGTTTGATGTTGTGACGTATTAAGCTACTAAGCTTCGGCCTGTTTGTTACAGCAACCACAAAAAACGAATGCACCTACCTAAGGCTGCAGGTGGCGAGGAACCCGGAGCACAAAGCTCTCCCACAGGGAACTGTTAGCAGTACCCATTTTTGCTAACATGAGGGAGGGGCACTTGTTTGAAAAACCAAGAGAATGAGGAGCTGTAACTGAGAGTGGACAGTCACTGTTGCTCTCTCGGCCTTACTTCCTTGTGAACTAACAGCCTATGGCTCATCTGTGAGAGTCTCCTACAATGAGGCCGGTAACACTCACTCTTCTCCCCTGTGTGTGGTGACAAAACTTTTCCTGGGGCGATACTAACACACACACACACACACACACACACACACACGTCTACACACCCCAGACCCAAATAGGGATCCCATGACAGACCAGAGTTTGAATACCACCAAAGGGCAATACGGTGAACCAGTGAGTTTTATTGGGGTTACTTACAGGAATACGGGTGAGGGGTTACTTACAGGAGCAGAAATGACTCCTGGACAGTTGCATCACCAAAGCCCACCCCGGCATGGGTGACAGCTCATAAGAGCTGTGAACCGGGAGCACACTGCACAGCCTGTAGGAAACTCAACGGATTGGAGAGTGGCCTTTCCAGGTGCCTCAGTTGGTCTAAGACTCTTCTGGGCAGCTTAGCTGGTTTCTGCTTCTCACAGGCAGCTGGTCTGGTCTCGGGGTCTCCTCAGCAGCTCAGCTCCCTTCTGTCTGAGAGGTACTCTCAGCTTTTATTGCCTACTCTGGCAGGGAGGGATCGAGTGAATCTGGTCAGTTTCAGAAACTTCCTGAAGCTGTTTGAGTTGTTTAACCTTTCTGGTTACTGAGCTTCTCTGCCAAAGGGGATGTTTCAGTCCCTGAGAAAACTGTTACAGGACACCTTAGTTGGTATGAGTTCAAATGATGCAGTGTGCCTAAACGACCCACAGCCAGTAATGATTTGCAATGGACAGGGGCTGTTAAAACAGGAGAAGCCAAAAGAGATGAACGTGGGTATGGATGAGGTGGTGAAGTCCAGCGTGCCCCCAGGGGCTGTCTGCCTTACTTCCACCAGCTCTGGGTAGTTTGACAACTGAAGGGACATTCGCCAGCTCGAGGATGGGAAACATGGCTCTGGCAGGCCTTGCCCTTCTCCCCCATTCCCTCTGCCTGGCTAAAAACCGTTAAATTACATTGCTAAAGCCAGCCACCAAGATCTGTTTCCTTATTTGGCCACATCCTCCTCCTGAGGCTGACCACCAAGATCCAGCTATCAAAGCATTAAAATCCAACAATCAAAAGCCCTGTTGTGGCTCACCTTATTAATCAGCCCAGTCAAAACTGAACACCACATTGTAACACAGGGTTTCTTTACTTTTGTAAACTGCCATTTTCCTGTGTGCCATGTCTGTATCCTCTCTGTCTAGAGGTGGACTTTTGTTGTTTCCCCCACCAGGACAAATCCCCTTCCCCCTCTCCCTTGTCCCATTGCCCTTTCTCCCTCATCCTCTCTTATTCCCTACCCCTTGTCCCTCTGGGGCAAATAAATCTCCTCTGTGCTGAGAACTTGGCCTTATGGTACCTTGAGCCGAATCTTGGTCCCTTTAACAGCATTTCATCCAGGAGAGGGACTTGGAAAGCAGATGAGTGTGTGTGGCCTTCTCAGATTAAGCGCATCTCCTCTTCTGTGTGTCGAGGGACAAGATCTCTTGAGGGCTGCCCCATACAGGACACTTGGGGAGTCTTTGAGGTGGGTAGATGCTTGTCCTTAAGACTCGTGCCATGTTCCTTAAAATCAGCCCTTGTCATCTTCAGTGAAAGTGTGGAGTAGCTCAAGGTAAAGGCTGAGGATACAGAGAAGCCACTAAAGGGAGCCACAGCAGGGAACAGGCCCTTCACGAGGGTCGCTAAGATGGCAGTGTCACTGTGTGCCTGGCCTCCATGGCAAGAGGAGAAACCAGCTGGCCGGAAAGACTCCAGAAAGACACTAGTGTGCAACTCTATCCTCGTGAGCATGGCCCAGTTGGCAGAGTGTTTGCTTAGCATGCAGGAGGCCCTGTGTTTGATCACCAGCACCACATAAACCATGCATGGTAGCATGGGCCTCTCATCCTAGCACTCTGGAAGTGGAAACAGGAAGATCAGGAGTTCGGGACCCTCCTCAGCCTCATAGTGAGTATGAGTGCAACATAAGACCTAAAAAGAAAATGTGGAACAAGGAGTCAGTTTTGGGTGTGATGTGTGGCGTGTGCAAGCGGATAAACGTGCCTGTTGTGTTTCTAGATAAATCCTCTGAAAAAGGAAGATGAGGGAGTGTACCACTGTCACGCAGCCAATGCCATTGGAGAGGCCCAGTCCCACAGCATGGTGACAGTCCTCGACCTGAGCAGATACAAAAGCCTCCGCTCCCCAGTTCCAGCTGGCCTCCTGTGATGAACTGGGTACACATTCAAAGCCATTTCTGTCTCTCTCCTCACAGCATGAGATAATTTAGGTGGCTTACAGAAGGCCTGTAAGAAAGAAGAGACAGATGTAGGTAAGTCTAGGAAACCTGAGGAAAAGCAGAGAGCAGGCCTCCTGAAGGCTGGCAGCTGGAGGCTCTTCTGTGTTCCTACAGGCATCTCTGAGTTTTCCCAGGGTGCAAAGTTAAGGGCTGTGAACACGGGTGTCCACAAGCTGAAAAGGGCAGACTGTTTCTACTTCCTGTGGGGATGAAGAGGCAGGCAGTGTCACTGTGGACACCGTGGAGGGCACCGTCCCCACAGGGAGCCTGGGCTTGTGTACTCATCCCTCGGCCTCCTGGGCAACTCTCTAAGCCCCGCCTTCCAGCCCTCAGCACTGTGCTGCTTAAAACAGCATAGCTGAGGAGGGGAGGGTCAGATCTGCCTTCTGTCACCTAGGTGACAGCCGGTTGTACTTGTCCCCACCCACAGGTGACTAGGAGCTTGGCTCTCCCGTTCACATCCGTATGACACTTGACTGCTGCAGGGGGACTGGGACATGGTTCTGCTGTTTTCCCAATCAAAACCAGATTGGAGCAGCAGCCCCAGTATGTGCCAGGTCGTTTGTTTTTTGTTTTTTTGTTTTTTTTCTGTGGCAGACAGGACGAGCAGGAGCCAAGCGCACAGTCTCATAAAACTTTCTGCTCAAAAGTGAGATCACATCTGCTCATGGAGCATTGGCCATAGCGAGGCACACACAACTATGTTAGGTGGGTGAAGTGGGACACACACACACACACACACACACACACACACACACACACTCCACTCAGGCAGGGAGGCATGGTCCTCTCACAGGTGTGGGAGTTGTCATCACGAACAGGTACCATTGTCAAGACTGACCAGCAAGGTCGAGTACAGCAGGAAAAATTAGAGATGAGTGTTACTGACGTTGTGTGATTTTTAAGTTTTTCTGTGTTTGAGTATTTGCCTGCATCGTGTGTATGTGCTGCAGGCATGCCTAACACCATGGAGAACACAGAGGGCATTGGATCCCCTGGAACTAAATTTAGAGATGGTTGTGAGTTGCCATGTAGGTGCTGGGAACTGAATCCAGGTCCTCTGCCAAAGTAGCCAGTACTGTTAGCTTCTGAGCCATCTGAGATAGACATTTTTTTTTAAGTTATTTCATTTTATTTACATTTATGTTTTTGCCTCCCTGTATGTCTGCACAAGGGCGTCAGATCCCCTGGAACTGGAGTTACAGACAGTTGTGAATGGCCATGTGGGTGCTAGGATTTGAACAGGGGGTCCTTTAGAAGAGCAGCCAGTGCTCTTAACCACTGAGCTACCTCTCCAGTCCCTGTAACAGACATTTTAAAAGCAGGATTTTGCTGTGGGTTTTGATCCCATGATCCTTTTGACCACTTCTGTTGGGCTGCCTGCCACAAGTCCTGTAGAGAATGTGTGGAAAAATGACAGCATCAGCCCAGTTCAAGGAATGCAGCAGGCTTGAGGCAGGAGGAACACTGGAGAAACTGAAGAAGTGACTGAGGAAGTGGCTGGCATTGGGGTTGAAGGGCAGGTCCTAGATAGAGGGAAAAAAACATGAAAGTGTAAACCATAGGATTTTAGCAAAGCTGGAAGATCAGATCTTACAAGTTGTCATCCTAATGCTCAACTATTTATTCTGCACAATACGTATGATTTATATGCACTGTTTTATATAGCTCCTAATAATATGGTCTGCACCCATGTTTTGAGCACCCTCTCTAGCGAGTACCAGGACAGCTCCTGGTTGTGAGCCTCCGGGAACGCAATGCTTACTACCACCAGACAGCCATACTGGAGCTTTTCAGGGCTTGAGAAGTCCTTTCCTGTAAACTGCGGTCTGCTTCTGTGGAACACCCAGACTTTGGTCTTGAATATTCTCGCTGCCCCAGAACCCCCCTTTCCTGTTAGCCCTGGCTGCATCCCTCACTGAAGAGGGATTTGAACCTGGGCATCACACCCTGCCCCTCCCACTTAACACACAGGTCACAACAGAGCAAGCTTTGGCCTCTAACGTCTTCCCCCTTTCTTCCTAGGTTTCTGGAGACACTGGTCACAAAGCGATGGATGAAGGAGTGGATCGTTTAGGGAACATTTGGGGAAACTGCCTGTAGATGACGGCTTTTTGTATTTTTTTTTTTTTAAGGAATGCAAACTAGATTCTTACACAGATGTAGTTTTTAGCAGAGCTGACCTTGGGGGTCCGGACATGCATGCAGCTTTTTTTTTACACTTTTGGAGTGAATTGTTCTAGAACACAATTCTTTTTTAACTCTTCTGTCCCGGGAAAGGTCGCACACGGTATGTTTGTAATTCTAAAGGGCTCAAAACAAGGCACGTGCCGACCAGCCAACTCATGACTTGGTGTCTGTGACTGCTCCGTGGGTGCTCCGTGGGTGCTCCATGACTGGGTGTGTGTAATGAAGGGAGAGGGGTCCTTGTGCCCTCTCCTTGGTGCTGCGTTGGACGTTTTCCCTTTTCCGGGTCACATTTTCCACCTATGATTGTAACATTTGGACTGGATATTCCTCATGTTCCCTGTAGCCTAACCCTTCTAGAGTGGGAGGACCCTAGGAAACTATAGCCCTGGCATAGGAATGCACAGCCATCACTTCATACCTGGGGATGGACAGCTGGGATGGCTCTTCTGCTCTTACCTTCTCCCTGTAGCAAGCAGAGTTAGCTCTAGGTGGGATCCATTGACCAAGCTGTGCACCTGCCAGCATTCTCCCAGCAGATAGACAGTAGATACCTGACTTTTGCTCGTCACACTGAAGAGAGGAAGCCAGGTGTCATCTGTCGGTGGTGGAATCACGCTGCAGGACCGGGCTCTGTCCTTACCCAGGCAGCAGGCTTGCCCTAATGAGGGAATTAAAGAGGTCAATGTCTGCTTTCTGGTCTGAAAAACAAGTTCTTGACCGCAGTTTCTTTTTTTTCTTCCTTTCTTTTTTCTTCTCTCTCTCTCTATTTCCATTTTTCTTTTTCTTTTTTTTTTTTTTTTTTTTTTTTGAGACAAGGTTTCATTGTGTAGCCCTGACTATCCTGGAACTCGCTCTGCATACCAGGCTGGCCTCAAACTTGCAAAGATCTGCCTGCTTCTGCCTCCCGAATGCTAGAGTTAGGGTGTACCCAGCTGACTGCAAATTCTTACCATTAAGATTGGGGTCCCTCACTGTGCACAGGCCTGAAAGTTCATGAGGCACTGTCCTGTCCATGAGCCCAGCCATGTTGAGAAGAGCAATAATTATGCCTTGCCTGTCTCGGTGCAGCAGCCAGGCTCACTGGATGACTCTGGGCAGGTTCCCTTCACTCGTGGGCCTCTGTGTCCTCAAGTGGACATGTGGGAAGCCTTTTCCAGTGTAAAATCAGAAATGAAATTGGAAGCTGCTGTCATGGGCTGGGACCACCAGGGGATCTTCTTATGTATACAAGACTTGCCCCGGCAGACCCTCATCAGGATTATTTCCATATCTGAGAGTCCACTCTTAACATCCCTGTGAGCTGAGCAGGTAGGAGACATGCTCAGATGCTTAGTGGGATGACGCCAGAAGCCTGTCACTTCGGAGACAACCGGCTGTGGAGAAGGAAGTAGAAGTGCCTTGCTGACAAGAGCCAACACAAAGTGCAGATCCCTTGGTCACCTCAGATCTGCACTGGATGCAGGCAACCCTAGTGGAATTGGGGCTGGGTTATATGCCACACTTATGAGTGATAGAGGTACCAGTGTCAAAAAAGATGGCTCCACATGATCGTTCAGCCTAGTGGCTTTTCACTCTGGGAGCTTCAGTGAATCCTTCTGAGACCTAGAACACAGGCTAGGAGTGCCAACATCTGGGAGCACGGTTACCTACCTACCTACACACCCAACCCTGTCCCTGCAGATTGCATGATGTCGTAACCCTGCACTCTGAGAAGAAATGTCTCTAAGGGTGGGCTCCTTGCTCTCGCCACCCATCTGTCTTTGTCATCCTGTGTGCATCTTGCCTTTCGTGTGTGTGTGTGTGTGTGTGTGTGTGTGTGTGTGTGTGTGTGCTTATATCAGCTGCTTTTTCCTAACCCTCCTCATCTCTCCCACCTGGGCTGTGCTAACCTCCTTGCCTGGTCCCTGCTTTGTTGTTGCTGCTGCTGTTGTTTTGTTGCTGTTGCTTAGCGATAGGCTCTCACTGTGCAGCTTAGTCTGGCCTGGAAATTCATATGTAGACCACGCTGGCCTCAGCTGGCAGAGGTCTGCCTGCTGCTGCCTCCGGGGTGCTGGGATTAAAGGTGTGTGAGCTATCATGCCTAGCCCCCTACTTGCAGATTTTTTTAAACATGTGTATGGGCATTTTGCTTGTCCTGCATGTAGTATTCACAGAGGCCAGAGGAGGACATCAGATCCTGTGAAGTTGGAGTTACAGATGGTAGTGAGCCACCGTGTGGGAGCTAGGAACTGAACTCAGGTTTCCTATAAGAACAAATGGTCTTAACCAACCATCTCTCCTGCCCCCCCCCACTACTTGTAGTTTTTAACCAGCCCTAACCATCCACTATTCCCAGCCTGATCCTGCTGAGTCTTCTGAACTGGTAGGTCCTCCTTTTCATGCATTTTACCGAGCTATTCACCCACTACTCTGCTCTCTCATTTCCCATGGACAGACTAAGGAATGGGTCAAGTCACTCAGTTGGAGAACGGAGTGTGTGCCGGGTTCCTGACAGCTACGGTGTGAGAGCTTTCTGAAGGCTGAGCCCCCAGCTGCCCAAAAGAAGTTTAGAGAGAAAACGATAACAGCCACATGACTTTAATGACAACATATTTAATTTTTTAATTATTGCTATTGATGTCTATGCCTAATCTATAAACTACTTATCACAAGCGTGTATCAGGGGGAAAATGGCAGACGAGAACTAGAAGACTGAAGTGCCTGCTACACGGGTGTGTGGGCCTGCGTTTGATCACAGAACTCATGTGAAGAGCTGGGCGTGGTGGTACAAGCCTGTACTATCAGAACTGGGGAAGCAGACGTAGGTAGATCTCTGGGGCTCTCTGTCTAGACAGCTTAGCCTAATCAGAAAGCTGCCAGCCAATGAGAGACCCTGTCTCAAAAACTGAGGGCACCTCTGAAGATCCTCTGCCTTCCACAGGTACATGTGTTTGCACCTGCTTCCTTGCATGCCCACATATTCATCTGCACAAACTTGTGCACACACACACACACACACACACACACACACACACACACACACGAGACATGGTCTGAAAGGTGTCCTTGTGGAGTCTTGGGATGTATTCTCCACAGGTAAGGGGATACCACAGTGAGTCTAAAGCTTGTGTTCAGCCCCAGACGTGTCCCTTGTTATCCTGAGCCCCCAAAGGCTGGGTCTTAGTAAGGTCTATATCTTCTCCTGTAGGTTTTGCAATGAAATGAATTCCTATCTTTAGAAAATGTTGCCCTTCTGTCCCCCAAGATTCAGGATGTAGGCCAGACAGTCGAAGCCATCCATCGGGGAACAGTCTTCTCTAATGACTTTCCTCATTCTCAGCCTTCACTGGGGCCTCATGAACGTTAAATCAGAGAGTGCTTATTATGTGATATATTAATTAATTAAGGAAAACCACATTGCTCTGGTGTCTTCGGCTTAATGAATTCAGGACATGGATCCCAGCGCCATGCTTGCCACAGTGGCTCAGTGAGGCTGAATTCTCTCCTGTGGAGTGTGCATGCCATTGTAGGTCAGGCAGGGCTGTCTCTGAGCTCTGTCTTCGTGGGTCCCACCCTGCAACCCCCAGCCCAGCAGAACAAGTTCTCACAATGCCCATCTCTGTGGCTGCCTGTGTAGTGTCTGCCAGGATGCAGCTGGCCGGATGCAGACGCTGCACCATTTGACAAGGAGAGACCCGTGAATATGAACCCTGGAGTGCTGGAACCCGTGCCCTGTGGGTATGGAGGGATGGCTGCAGTGTGTATGTTTTGCGTACACTCTCCCTCCTCCGTCAGTTAGGATGCACACAGTTTTTGCCCAGTTCCCTGCTGTAGCCCCGGCATCTAGCACACTGCCAGCACACAGTGAAACACATTATAAAAGGTATTGAATAAAGGGGCAAGCTGGCCACCTCCCCCTTGACCCTAAGCCTGCTCCTCCAGCAAGGTTCCCTGTTTGTTTGTTTGCTGCTTGTTTTTCCTGAGACAGGTTTCCACATAATCTAGGATGCCCTCAAACTTGATACAGTGCCAAAAATGACTGTAAACTTACGGTCCTCCTGCCTCCACCTCTTGAGTGCTTGGATTGCAGGTGTGTCATCGTGTCTGATTATATGTGGTTCTGCGGACCAAACCCAGTGCTTTATGCATGCTAAGTGAGGACTCTATTTGCTGAGCTATACCCCGAGTTCCAAGGCTCCCTTTTACAGTGGCTGGCCTCCTATACGCACCCAGTTACCCCAGCCAAAAGGTTGACTCTACTGCCTTATTTTGCTTCCTGGCTGGTCAGGATCTCTCACTCCGCCACACCCTGATCAAGCTAATGGACAGAGTAACAGTGCCCTACAGCCTCTTCCCCACTTCCATTTTCCACACGGAAACAGAGTGGCCTTTAGAAACTGAATAGGAGCCTGTCTCTGTCAGGGCTTCCAACTGTGGAGCATGGCTTCCTAAGGGTGGGGGACAGAGGGCTCCAACCCCTGAGTATCTACCTCTGCAGCCTCCCTGTTCCTGTGGGAACAGCTTACATGCCTGTCTCTTCACCTCTGCTTCTCATAAGCTCTGTCCTTCCCTCTCCCAGCAAGCCCTATGTCTTACCAGTGGTCTTGTCACCTCCTCATCTGCCAGAATCTGTGTCCAATTCCAAGGGCCTTGCCCTCAGGGTGAGCAAAGAGCAGGCAGAGGAAAGAAGGGGGGGTGTCCCAGGTTGTGTTAGCCCTGCTTAGCTGCTTAACAGATGTTGGCAGCGTCTCGTGGGTGAGATGCTAAGGGTAGATGGGAGCTCTGGGTGAGCGGGAGCCTTGCAGATACTTACAAATGCATTCCTTTCCTCTCTCGGCCTCTTGCCACCTTGGCTTTTGCACTCAGACTGGCCACTGCATGTGTTACCCTGTTCTGTAATTGTCTTGCTTACAATGTGAGCTCCCGCAGGGCAGTCTTTCTGACTTGCTTTCTCCCAGTGCTTCACTTACAACCATGACTTTTTTTTTTTCTCTTTCAGATCAATGAATGATCTGAGCAAATGAGTAAAAGTGGGGACCACCAGAGGTCAGTCTTGTACCCATAATGGTGCCAATCCTAGTGAAAGTTCCTCAGTGGCTCAGACTTGGGCTT